CCCTTCTAAAAAAACGTTAAAATGTATTACCGGCACACGAAACCTTAAATTAAAGTGAATAAATGAAGACTCGGCACACCACTTCTGAAAGGTTGCCTACCCCTGCTCTACGTGCTGCTGGATTCCTGGAATAGTTAGTGATGTACCAGTGGGACACTGTTCGGCCAACAAGCTCCTAAACTCTCCCTTTCTAGGTATGTTATGAGGGGTCTGACTGAGGGGTTTTTGCCTTAAGTGTGCAATGACCAGGGTCCCGCACCCTGAATCCAAGTCATCTACAGAGGAACTGCTAAGTGGGTCACCATAGGCATGAAAGAGCAGATTTCAATGTTGGAAGATTAGAATGGTTTTTCCATGGTAATGTTTTCCCCTCTTTTCTTTTCAGGGGATCTTATCTAATCTTTTCTTTGTGGAGCATGACTTCCCCGAACAGGAGATCCAGGAAGGGAAAAGCCATCAGAATCCACATGAGGCCCAGTTTGTGGTGGAGCTGTGCAAATACTTCTTGTGCCAGGACTACTTGCCCTCCCAGATCACCATTCTCACCACCTACACTGGGCAGCTCTTCTGTTTGCGCAAACTCATGCCTGCCAAGATCTTCACAGGTGTGAAGGTTCATGTGGTGGATAAGTATCAGGGTGAGGAGAATGACATTATCTTGCTATCACTTGTGCGGAGTAATAAGGAAGAGAGAGCTGGGTTCCTGCAGATTTCTAACCGGATCTGCGTAGCATTATCCAGAGCTAAGAAAGGGCTTTACTGTATTGGGAATATGGGAATGCTTGGCAAGGTGCCTCTCTGGAGCAAGATCATTCACACCCTGCGGGAGAAGGGTCATATTGGTCGCTCACTGATGCTCTGTTGTCAGAACCATCCTGACACTAGGACTCTGGTATCCAAGGGAGCAGATTTCTGCAGAGTTCCTGAAGGGGGCTGTAGTCGCCCCTGTGAATTCAGGCTGAATTGTGGACACGTCTGCACTCGAGCATGTCACCCCTATGACTTAGAACACAAAGAGTTTCAGTGTATGAAGCCCTGTCAAAAGGTGCTCTGCAAAGATGGCCATCGTTGCCCCCAACTGTGCTTTGAGCACTGTGGACCATGCATGGTGAAAGTGCTGAAAACCATCCCAAAGTGTGGCCACCAGCAGATGGTCCCTTGCTCCATTCCCGAGAGTGAGTTTTGCTGTCAAGAGCCTTGTCAGAAATATCTGAAATGTGGGCACAGATGTAGCATGTCCTGTGGGCAGGAATGCAGTGTTCAGTGTCTTGAGATGGTTATGGTCACACTGAAATGTGGCCACAACCAGCAGGTGAAGTGCTGGATCACAGTGGAGATGAAACATGGGATGCCTGTGAAATGCAAAACCAAATGCCCTATCCCACTGGATTGTGGCCATGCATGCCCAGGTTCCTGCCATACCTGCTTTGAAGGGCGATTTCATGAGCACTGCAAGAGCCCTTGTAAGCGCTTCCTGATCTGCTCCCACAAATGTCAGCAGCCTTGCACCAGGGAATGCCCTCCATGCCAGCAAGCCTGTCAGAACCACTGCATCCACAGTCGGTGCAAAAAGAAATGCGGAGAGATGTGTATCCCATGCATGGAGCCATGTGAGTGGCGGTGTCAGCACTACCAGTGTACCAAGCTTTGCTCTGAACCATGCAACAGGCCCCGTTGCGATGTACCATGCACTAAGCTACTGCGCTGTGGTCATACTTGCATTGGGTTGTGTGGGGAACCTTGCCCAAAAAAGTGCCGTGTGTGTCACCAGGATGAAATCACCCAGATCTTTTTTGGCTTTGAGGATGAGCCAGATGCTCGCTTTGTGGAACTGGAGGATTGTGGCCACATCTTTGAGGCCCAAGGCCTCGACCATTACATGGATGAAGATGAAATTGTCATCAAGCTAAAGGTCTGCCCCAGCTGCCAGACAGCCATCAGGAAGAACTTGAGGTATGGCACCATTGTGAAAAGGCGGCTGGAGGAGATAGAGAGAGTGAAAGAGAGAATCCAAGGTCCAGTAAGTGAAATTGAAACTAGCAGGCACAGACTGCAGGGTGTGCTGGAAGGGAAGGCTGTTCTGCGAAGAAATCTGTCCATTAAATATCTCATGCTGGAAGAGAAGCTGACACATCCTGATCTCTCCACAAAGAGTATTGGACTTCTTGAGAACCTGATTGGCTTCTATGGGCGCCTGGGTGAGCTGATGAGCTCCCTGAACAAGCTTGATGTGAGCGAGAAGGAAGGACTGAGGAGACGGCTGGCTGAAATTCAGGAGTGGTTGGACAAGCCCCGGCTAAGCTTCACTGGTCAGGAACTCTCCGACCTCCAGAGTGAGATTCAGAGGCTTACATACCTGGTGAGTCTCCTGGCCAGATGCAAAACAGCAACTGCAAAGATGAATACTTCTATCTCGAGAGAAATTGCCACTCTGCGGCAGATCCTAGAGGGAACGAAGAAGTTCACCCAAGAGGATGAAAAGGTGGTGAAGATGAAAATGGAAGAACTAAAGACAGCTCTGCCAGAGTCTGGGTTGGGAATCACTGAGGAGGAGCGAGTGCAGATTGTTAGTGCCTTTGGCTATCCACAAGGTCACTGGTTCAAGTGCCCAAATGGCCACATTTATGTGATTGGTGACTGTGGTGGGGCAATGGAGAGGAGCAAGTGCCCAGAGTGTAAGGCAGTTATTGGGGGTGCAGACCACTCTCTAGAGCACAGCAACCGTCTGGCCCCTGAAATGGATGGGGCAACTCATGCGGCTTGGTCAGAAACTGCAAATAACATGCTGAACTTTGAGGACCTTCGCAGGCTGATATAGAAGAGCCCCATCTCCCTCAGTAGAAGACCTTTTTAACCCCATGAATGCCCTTTCTTCCCTACTGCCAAGCTGCATAGCATGTGGAGTAGCTAGCTGGTGCTCACTGGCTCTGCTTGGCAAATTGGGTTTCTTGTGATTAACACTTGCTAGTGTTTGTTGCTAGAACTAGTCCCATTTCCTATTGGCACTTTATCTGTGGAATCAAGTAACTCAATGAAATAGAAACAGAAACAAAATTCGCCTGGTTTAGCCTGAAGCCTGCATGGGGCCTCCTGCAATTCCAAGGCTGGCGGGCACCAGTCTGTGGTGGCATCAGCCCCTGCAGTAGCTCTGGCTATTGCTCATTGCACTGATTGTTTAACCTGAAATCTTTTATAGCCCAATAAATTTTATTCATAGTCATTTAAATGATATATTTATTTTATTGGGTTCTTCCCCAGGCTGCTGTCTGTCCCACACCCTAAGGGCTGGGCTCTGTCTTTTCTCCCCTCCCCCTTCCCCCAGCACTGCTGTCTCCCATTATCTTCCCTGTGCTGGACCCTGTGTGTCTCACCTAGCCCAATGCTGCACTGCCAGCTGTGCCAACAAGCAGCTCTCTAGAGGCAGCTGCTGGGAGGAGGAGGGAGATGTCTCCACAATGGCCCCTGGCTTGTTCCTGCCGTGTTGGGGTTGGACATAGCATGCCCTGGCACCCAGAGAGCCAAGGATAAGAAAACAGCCAGTGTGTCCCTCTCTCAGGCTGAGATGTGGGGGAGAGGAGAGACCAGGTCTGCAGACCTCCTCGCTGCTACGTAGGGATCAGCAAGTCTTCCCTAATAGGTCCGGTGCTGGACCTGTCCAGAGGGGTTTTACTGTAAGGTATCAGAAGGGTAGCTGTGTTAGTCTGGATCTCTAAAAAAGCAACAGAGTCCTGTGGCACCTTTAAGACTAACAGATGTATTGGAGCATAAGCTTTCGTGGGCATGCATCTGATGAAGTGGGCATTCACCCACGAAAGCTTATGCTCCAATACATCTGTTAGTCTTAAAGGTGCCACCGGACTCCCTGTTGCTTTTCACTGTAACGTGTCTGCTCTCCCCCAGGCTCACGCTTGACTCGGCGAACCTCACACTTCACTATGGGTTGTTTTGGAAATGGAGTAGAGTCGGTACTCCCACTCCTGGAGTCTTGGTTCCCTGAATCACTTCCCTTATTGGCCTGTAGAGCCCTGTCAAGGGGGCTGAACTGGAGCGTTGGCCTCTTCCCATTGGCCCTGGGGACTGTTAGTCTCCCACCTCCTTTCTTTAGTCAGAGGGATTGTGCAATCAGGAGCCAATCATGCTCTCGGGTGGGAACTTTTTTAAAAAAAAAGGCAGCCCCTCCTTTGGAAGCCCAAAACAAGCCACACTCAATAAGCCCCTTAAAGCACGAAGCACCTCGAAGAAATTACACGCCACGTTGGCTTCTTTTAAGCTGCTTGGCAAGCGTGGAACCGGTCTCGGCACTTCTCGTAGGGGTTCCGGGTGAGAGCGGAAGTCGCTCTGGTGCCACACTGATCGGGGTCCGTGCGAGGCCGGAAGTAACTGGAGAGTCACTGAATGGGGTCCGGGCTCGAGCGCCTTTAGCCGCCGCCCACTTCAGTTCTCGGCCGATTTTTGCCAACTTTTGCGCCCTCGGGTTCCGTCCCCGTGCAGCCCTTTTAACGCGTTGCTGTCACGCTGCGCCGCGCGCCTCTTGGAGCAGCCGGCGAGCGACGGCGGTGTCTTCCTGCGCGGCTCGGGAGCATGCGCGGCTCGCTCGAGCGAGCGCAGCCGCAGCAGGGACCGTGGAGCGGAGCGGATGGAGCGGGAGCCGGGGGCTGCGGGGCCGGCGCGGGCGTTGGAGCCGCTGCGGCACCTCCGTGAAGTGCTGCGGACGGCGCTGTCCCGGATCCGAGGTGCGGCGGTGTTCAGGGGTCGCGGGAGGGGAGCCTCTGGGCCGGGCTTGGGAGCTCCGGGGGGCGCGGGGCGGGGCGGGGCGCGGGCCCCCGGCCCCTGTCTGAGATGCTGCGCTGGTGTCTTTGCAGAAGGGGAGTCGCGGGAGAGCAGCGAGACCTTCGAGCAGCAGCGCTTCTGGGACACGCTAGGTAAATGTTCATTGCGTCAGTCATGGATAAAAGAACCAGTAGACAAGTTATATCTTTGAAAATCTTTTGCCAAAATGCCTCATGAAGCTTTTAAATGAACAACATAATCAAGGGGTGAGAGGAAAAGTACTGTCATGGATTGAACAATGGCTAAGCGACCGAGAAGAGTAGCAAAGGGTGCCCCAAGGTTCTGTACTAGGAATGGTAGATGAGATATATATATATATATATATTATGATCTGAAAAAGGGAAGGAGCAGTGTGGTGGCAATTTTGTAGATTAGCCAAGATCAGAGAAGACTCTGAGGGACTTCAGTGGGATCTAACCAAGCTAAATGAATGGGTAACACTGGGTGATTGGTAGTATTATAACAAGAAAAAGTCAGTGTTGACAAGGACAATGTTATGCATGTTGTAAGGAATAATAAATCAGGTTTCAAATGAACTGTGGTTAGGAAAAAGATGTAGGCCTTGTTTTGGACAGCTCAGTAAAAAGCTCTGTACTGTCTGTATCAGTGGTCAAAAAAGATAAACAAAAAGTTAGGATCCACACAGGATGACCTAGAAAATGAGACTGAAGATATTATAAATCAATGGTGCACCCTGAGCAGTACTGTGTCAGTGCTAGTCACCCCATCTCTAAAGAGGTATAGCAGCAAAGCAATAGAGGGGATTCAAAGATAGGTGGCAAGAATGGCCTGGAGAGATTGCTATATGAAATTAATTAAAGTAATAGGACTGTTTAGTTTTGGAGATAAATAAGAGGAGACGTGATAAACATATTCCAAACAACGAATGGGTGAATTACTCCTACCCACACTTTCTGAATAAGAGATGCTCAGTAATGAAAGGCAAGATATTTAAAACTGAAGAGAGAGACTTTTTTGTACAGTGCATAACTCTGCCTGTGGAATTCGCTCAGGAAAAGCACCTAGTAGGATTTAAAAGAAAATTCAACATTGTTTGAACTATGATTTATGAACATTGATAATACAGGGCACCACCAGACATTAACTAACCATCAATTATTTTATTAAATCCAAAGGCCAAATGGTATATACACAATTGCTTTAAATATACTTAAAAAGCCTAAATAATAAGTAGTTTGTGACATCCAATACAGCAACACACATCCATAATCTTAGGATCAATTATACTCAGAGATGGATTAGATCAGAGAATATTCCTCTCACCCTAGTTTTCCTCAGCATGATTGGATCAGATCTGATAAAGAACCTTCAGATTCATGGCTCTCCTTATACCCTTCAGCTAACTTGCTAGTTTTAGCAAACACCCAGGCTGAAGCAGTTTATCACTGCTGCATTCCTTCCTTGTTTATTTCCCCTCCTTGCTTACCAACAGAACAGTGGGAAGGTTTGCTATTGCTTCTTTTAAGATATTTTTTTCTTTGTCACATTACTGTAGTTTTTTATTGTTTTAGTTACTTTTTGAACAATATATTTTTCCCATTCTACATTCTGCTCTCATAACGTATTATTTTCACAGTCTTCATTTATTTGCTGAGTAAGTCATTTTCTTACTTACTAGCAAATATATTATTTTCTTAACCAAAGTTAAGCTAACTTTAATTCTTTAATTTCGTAAGTATCCTTACAAACATTATAGAGTTTCTTACCCCTTCCTGTCAAGCAGCTGGTCCCACTGGAGACAGGAGTCTGGGCTAGATGGACCTTCATCTGATCAGTTCAACAGTTTGTGTTCTTCTGAATTGCCGCCATCTCTCCTTAAGCTGAGTTTCCTAACTGGGAACTGATGTAGGCTTTATCTAACAGATGGGCAGATGGAGGAAAACGGGCTGTATGACTGACTGATGCCTGGTATCTCCCCCTTTGCCAGAGACAGTGTCTAATGTCGTGACTCCATTGAATTGTTCCTTAGGTCAGACGTTTAAAGCGACATCCCAGGAAGCTACGAAGTTGAGTCTGGCATTCTCAAGGCCTCCACTGCCTTCTGCAGAGGTGGGTGCATGCCCCACATCAAGGAAAATCTCAAGGTTTCTACCACATTGCAGTCCCTTTTTGTGTCTTGATCCCTTGAACTAGGACAAAGTTAGTTTGGGTTAAAAAATAAAACAAATGGTTCTTCTCATTGACGTTTGTGGGATGTAATTGCACCCTTTCACTCTTCTTTAGAATGGCACAACTTCCCAGTCTTGTTGCATAGAGAATTGTCAGAGCTGAGGGAGCAGCTCATTGGCTGTGGAAGGTTTCAACCCAGGTGTTTATGGGAAAAGAGCCACATAGTTCAAGACAATAGTACGCGCTCTCCTCCTCCCACACCCAACTTGACCGTAGCAATTTACCAATATGTGAATGTCTTGGGGTGGGGAGAAGGCTATCTGATGCCTAGAGTATGATGTGGCATTAGACAGCTGAGCACCAAACTGGGCCTTACTCTGTTGTTACGTTTCAAAATAATTTTAAGTATATTGGACTCTGGTCCTTCACCTTCTTCCCCCATTACCCCCAGCTGGCTTTTTGCCTCTCCTCCAATTGGCAGAGTCTTCAGCTGAAAACAACAGTGTGTAAGAAAGTGATCTGCCTTCAGATGGAGTTGGTGGATTTTAATGGGATTGCACTGTCACCCCTTTCATTCCTGATCCTTTTTGTCCACTGTTTTCAGGACTGTCAGAAACTGAGCGAAGGCGTCCAGAATGCTGTCCTGGCAGCTGCCACAGTGTATTACTGGCTTCCCAAGGGCCAAGGTGAGGCAGTGAGACCAGGTTTGTGCCACTTCTCCTTCCCCTCAGAAAGGAAAGTTGACATTCACAAGGGAGCAAGTTGTGGCAGGCAAAGGGACTCCCATCCTCAGCTCTGTTACAGACGTGCAGTATGGCCTTGAGTAGATCAAGCCCCTTTCGCTGTGCCTCAGTTTCTCTATCTGTAAATGGGGCTGATGTTGGGAGCAGTGAATCTTAATTCATGTTTAAGTGTGTTGAGATCCTTGTCCAAAAGTGCTATAGGAAAGTGAGGATGGGAACAGAAGACTCATTCAGGAGGCACAGGTGTTTGTCCTGAGGGGGCTTTATACAGAAGGCACATCTGCGTGTATGTGTGAGAGAGAGTAGGAGCAACTGCCTGTTTGACCTTGTCTGTGTTTGGAGGGGGGGAGGGGCTGGCTTTCACTGTGATAGTGTGAGGCTGCATCATTCCTTGCTCAATCTCATCTAGGTACCACTCTGCGGAAGATGGTGCGAGATGCCACTGCCGAGGTAGTGGAAGGAATGATCCAGCTCACAGACGTGATTCTCCGTACTCCACGGCAGAGGTAATACTGATCCAGCAGTGCCCCCATTAAATACTGCTAGCTTAAGTAGATGGGGAAAGAAAATGAAAGCCCCATGCATATCCTCTCAATCCAAAACAGTAACCAACTGTGAGCGTGCCCCCCTGCACAGAGGGTTGAATGTAGCTCTGTATGTGACAGGGAGGGGGGGGCCTGGGAGAATTAGGGCTCTTGTGAAGGAGGTGGGGGGAATATTTGTGTTGCTGGGCAACTCATGCAATTTGGAGTAGGTTGTCCTCAGCACAGATTCTTGGAGTGCCATATTTCCTGTCTCTCGCTAAGTACAGAGTATCCCCTTGTCAATGTTTATAGGTCCCAGCACCCTGAGGGACTCTCTTCTTTTTCAGTTTGTCTCAGGAGCAGCTTATATCAACTGGTAGCATATGGGAGGCATGTGAGCAGATTTCCCATCTTCCACAAGGTGAGTGACATGGATCCAAGGAGTGGGCTTCAGAAATCAACAGTCCCTGAACCTACTAAAGGGGAACATTGCAGCTGGTATCTTGGAGCCTAGCTCCTGCAGCAGAAATGATGCCATTCCTAGAGCCCATTACATGCTCAGGAGCCAGGTGGGGTCACCTGCATGGTGACCTGCAGTTCTGTGGAGGTGACTGATCCAGTGACCCAGAGGAGTGTGGTGGATGCTGGGGAACTGGTAAGATCCGTACAGTCCCCTTTCATCCTTCTCTCTTTGACTTTTCTGTGCAGATAACCAGGCAGCAGTCCTGTCAGCCATGTCCGCCTATCTGGGTGTGGTCAGGGATGCAGTGGAGGAAATGGAGCAGGTGAGGAAGTCCCTTTATTTTTGCTGGGGACAGAGCCCACTGTTGGGGGGCTTCCTGCAGTGATGCTGTAGTGAAACCGAGACGTGGTTTTCTATTGTGATGAACTGGGAATTCTGAAATATTTTTTGACTGATATGCATGGCAATGACTGACTTGATTATTGATTTGTTACCCAGTGTGACAAAGGGTTAAAATGCTCCTGAAGCAAAGCAGATGTGTGTATCACCTAACCGTCTGGGGTGGTATGACTGGGTCTAAAGACTGGCTGAAACAGACCCATATCAATGGAGGGTCTGGAAGGAACCCCCAGGGCTGAACAGTTGACACCTATCCATAGGAAACTCCACCGGGGAACATATAAACTCAGCATGGTTTGCAGGAGGAAGACAAGTGACAGGAGACTAGGATAAGAGCTGGCTTGAGAGGGACACAAAGAGAGAGAAAAAGGAAACCAAGATGGTTCCTAGAGAGGGTTTTGTCCAGTGTGGACTATGTCTTCACTTTTGCTTCTCTGTGTAATCTAAGGACTTCCTGATGCTGTGTTTCAATTGACTAAAAGCTGTACTCTGTTTTGAAAAGGCTGCTTGGTGTAACTGCAAATACTTGCGTAGTGCATGGATCTCTGAAGACAGTAAAAAGTTTTTGGACAGGAGTCTGTTGGAGTTAACTTCCTGGGCAGAGCTCACGTTGTGAAACTGGAATGTTGGAGCCCAGAGGCTCCGTCTCAGGAGTGTTGAGGCTGTGTGGCCTACCCCTGTGGACAGGAAGGACCCCCTGAGGGTCTGGCATGCTGAAGGGATACCTTCAAGGGACTGTTTAAAAGCTGGGGTGTAGCACATATCCTGTAAATCCATGACATTTATCCAGGTTGTCATGGCTCCTATATCTTGATTTTGACACAAACCAGAGTCATGCAAACCAGTGTTCACACCTCAGCCTAATTCCACTACTTAATATGTGGCTTCTGTGAAGCCAGTGCCTTGTTTTGTCTTTGCATGGCTTAGTTTGCTGGTGTAGGGTTGGAGCAGGGACTACCTGCTAGGCTGTTGCTGATTAGTGGCCAGGTGTGTCTGAGGAGTTGATTTTTTTTTAAGCCAATTCCCGAAGGAGAAAAGGTCTCAGGTGTCTGACTCCGGTCCTGAAGACATTGCAGGGTTTCCCTGCAAACTACTTAAGCGGACTCTTTGTAGTACTCACCCCTTCCCTCGGGCACTATGGGGACAGATGGTGGGCTCTTGCTTTCCAATATATGTGTCCTCAGGCTCAGGGGGAAGATCGGGACCCCTACAGTGACATCATGGAGGATGAGGAGTTGGGCTCTCGGGGCAATAGGGACACCTACTGGTCTGAGGCTGACCGGAAGCTACTTGGTCCCTGCATGGGGCTGATGAAGGCCTCCAAAGCCTGCCTGAAGAAGCTCTTGGGTGCAGTGAAGGTTCACGGCAAAGCAGACACCCCAGAACAGGTGGCTCAGCTAGATGATCTTGCAGACATCACCAATGAGATCAGCCCGAGGTGAGTCAGTCTCTTTCCCCTCTCAGTGCTATCTGTGCTAGGGGAGTCCTTGTTGGCCGGCTAGGTCAGGGAACTGCATTATGCAAGGGTTTCCTTCTGCACTCATGAGGGCAGTGGGGCCCTGGAATAGTCTGTAGGAGAGTTGCTCTGACTGGGCCAGGGATAGTTGTGATGGGGGATGGGTGGTCACTGAGGATTGGGACAGAAATGAGACCGTATTTGCTAGATACAACTGATGTTGGTTTCCTGCTGAGCTGTGCAGAGTCTGACTCACTCCCACAGTTAATGTGTTTGGTGGCAGGGATAGCCTTTGCCCATCCACTGGCTGGGCTGGCTGCTAGGCCCCCTTTCTCATACTGAAACTTCTGTCTTCTGCCCTAGTGTTGATGAGCTGGCACTGAGTATGTATCCACCCATGAACCAGCTGTCTGTGCGACTCAATGTAAGTACCTACCACTCCCCAGCTCACGAGCAAAGGGCATCAGCCTGACTCCTGCAGGGAACAGAGGAAATAAAAGTGGGAGCTAGTGTCTCTGAGGGCAGTTGGTAATCGTCCCCTGGCCCAGTGGCAAGTTGTTGGGTATGAAGACTGCCTGTTTTCTGTTGGGTCACACCCACTTGGCTTCCTGAGTAAGCTTGTCCGTGCTGTTCTCTTCCTTCTTTCACAGAGTCTTGAGCCCACCAGGAAGGAGAGAGTACATGGAGAGGGTACATGGTCTGTGCTGACACTGCCATCCTGTCATAGCTGTGTGACCCATAGAGGTGTCTGGATGCCACTGCCCAAGGGAGCAGAGACCCAAAGCTGCCTCTGTTGTGGGGAGTAGCTCCTCCTCCATGGCAGCACTAGGCTGGGGGTAGTTCCCCACAACAGCTTTAGGTGGTCACCTCCCATGCTGGGTATAGAGGTGTCTCTTCCTACTCCCCGGCTATGCTAGGATGCCTCCTATGATAGAGGATTCCTGCATGTGTCCTCGACTCCCCACAGCAGTGCTGGGACCGTGCTTGCCACATTGGCTCAATTGTTTTCCCTTTTGCTTCCTTTTAGGCTGCCAAACTGGCCTCTGTATTAAAGAAAGTCCTAGAAATTACAAAGTGAGTATGGCATGTGGCCCTTCCTGAGCTCCGAGTGTTTCTGGAGGGGGAGGGGGCGAGAGGGAGTTCTAGTTGCCCACTTTCTGCATGTTGTTAGAGAAACTGTGCCAGGGGTGACTCAGCCTGGGCTCCTCAGAAGGCTTATGGAGAGCAAATGTGTACCTTTGGGAGTTACCCTGACCGCCCCAAAGGGAGCGATGGCTGTGCGGAGAGATGATATGGGGGTTTCTTAGAGTCGAAGACCAGAAGGGGTCATTGTGATAATCTGATCTGACGTCCTGTGTAACACTGGCCAGAGATCTGCCCCACAATAATTCCTTTTGAACTAGACCACATCCTTAAAACAAAAATCGACAACGATGGAAAATCCACCACAACCCTGGATAAATTGTTCCAACTGTTAACAATTTACACCATATTTCCACTCTGAATTTGTCTAGCTTCAACATCCAACCATTGGCTCATGTTGTACCTTTACTAGACTGAAGAGCCCATTATTAAATATTTGCTCCTCATGTAGGTACTGATCAAGTCACCCTTTTACCTTCTTTTCGGTAAACTAAACAGACCCAAGGAGCTCAGTCAGTACGAGGCATGTTTTCTAATCCTTTAATCATTCTCTTGGCTTTTCTCTGAACCTTGTCCAATTTCTCAACATCCTTCTTGAATTGTGGATATGAAGTGTGGCAGAGACCCCTCCCTGTAGGGCAGGGGACGGCAACCTTTCAGAAGTGGTGTGCCGAGTCTTCATTTATTCACTCTAATTTAAGGTTTCCTGTGCCAGTAATACATTTTAACCTTTTTAGAAGGTCTCTTTCTATAAGTCTATAATATATAACTAAGCTATTGTTGTATGTAAAGTAAAGAAGGTTTTTTAAATGTTTAAGAAGCTTCATTTAAAATTAAATTAAAATGCAGACCCCCAAACTGATGGCCAGGACCTGGGCAGGGTGAGTGCCACTGAAAATCAGCTCGCATGCCGCAGGTTGCCTACCCTTGCTGTAGGGGGTGGGAATGCAGGGCACTGGATGGGCAGGCGGGTACAGAGATTGCTGGAAATTAGTGAGGAGTGGACACGGTGAGGGTAGAAATGACAGATTGTCTCCCCCTACTCTCTCCCACCGCCACACACACACAGACCAACATGCAGCAAAGAATCATAGAACTGGAAGGGACCTCGAGAGGTCATCTAGTCCAGTCCCTGCACTCTCATGGCAGGACTAAGTATTGTTTAGACCATCCCTGGTGGTGTTTGTCTAACCTGCTCTTAAAAATCTCCAATGATGGAGATTCCACAACCTCCCTAGTCAATTTACTCTAGTGCTTAACCACCCTGATAGTTAGGAAGTTTTTCCTAATGTCCAACCTAAACCTGCCAGAATGGTGAGGCAAAGGGTGGGTGTGTATGTGTTATCCCACAAACTTATACAGGATCGTTTTAGGGGTCAAGGCAAAGATGCCACATTTATTAATCTGTAACTATTAGCAAATACTTCAATGCTTATACACATACACTCACACACACACATACACACACCAAAATGTTCTGCAGCTGCTGGATAGTTACCGGTCCTGATTGTAGTTTGAGTTCGCAGCTTGGGATCGTAGCTCGTGACAGCTAACTGGCCAGGAAAGCTGAGCACGAGGAGGAGCCGGGTCTCTGTCGGGCGCGCACCGATGCTCCTTGATGTTGATAGCAGAACGTTACCCAAAATCTCTCATCTCGCCCTTCCTTTTTTATAGGAGTTTAGTTTGGATTCAAAGTCCCTAGGTCTCGCTGTGTCACGCCGCCTCTGGGTTTGGTGCTTGATCACCCGTCAATTGCAGGCGTGACTGTCAGCCTGGGACCTGGCTTTGATCTTCCTTCTGTTGTTTCTTTTTAGGGTGGATGCTTCTTGCTTGAGTTAGGGCTGTTGTCTAGTTCTTCAGCCGTTGGTATTTGAACTTTATCTCATCAGGACGGGCTGGTGCTGGAGGTTGATTCTATCACCCATACATACCTCATTCACACACCTCAACTAGACTAATAAAATTACAGCAGGGTTTGCAAAAATGAAGGTTGCAGCAAGCCCTTACAAAATGGAGTAAGCGTTTTAAAATGGGGTTTGAATTACAATATGGCACAGAAGTTACAATGTACGCAAAATGGCAAGTGTAATGAAATGGTGAACAGAAGTTACAATGATACAGTGGATAACTAAAAACAATTTCATTCACATTGGTTCTACATATGTAGGGTGTTGTCGAGAGACCACTCCCTACTGGGTGTAGGCCGAAGGTACAGATAACTCCCTCCCTGACAAGGGCACTCTGAGGCTGCAGAGACTTTTCCTTTATAACCCTGTGGTAGTCTAGCTCTTCGTGACATGGTCCTGTGGTACCTGGCACTCTGTAGTCTGGAGGTGCCTAGATATACAGTACCTCAAAGTCATTCTAATGCCTCTCCCTTTTCTGCAGGTCAAGCCATGTGTGTCCCCCATCAGAGGAAGGCTGGGTTCAGTTTCTCACTGGTGCAGTAGATCACAACATGGACAAAATTAAGGACTTCACACAGAGTGAACTTTAGTGCTTCTGCGGCCGGGTACTCTAACAGCTGCCTTTCTGGTGCGTCTGGTCATTCCCTGAACACAGGGAGAGCAATGGGGTTGGCATTTGAAGGAAGAGCTTTTCCAACCTGGAAGAACTTTGCAAATGCAAAGTGTGACTTGCTGGTCTTCTCTGGCAATTGCCAACACTGCCACCCTTGATTTGTTTCCTGGGACAATGAGAAGCTGCATCTTGATGTTGTGAATGTGTCTTGCCCCCTTGGACTTGGCTCTAGGGCTGCCCTACAGGGCAGAAAGGGCAATAAAATGTCACTAGGTTCACATGGTGGCTTTGTTCTATGGAGGGGGAAGGGTTTTTCTACCTTCATGAGGCTGGACTGGATCCGTGAAGGGTACATTTTCTCCTGCCAGCCTGATAATGTATGGAGTGATGCCCTCACTTCCCTCTGAATCATGGGAAAGGAATAGAGGAATTTGCTCCCTTCCAGTGAGGATACAGTGGGAACTGTTATCTGCTAGTTCAACAACTCCCTGGCCCTGTGGGCACTAGAGTGCAGTTTTAGGGAGATGCAGCATCTTCCCCTTAAAATCCCAGGCTGATGCTCTTTTTTTCTCCTTGATTCTCCTTGATAGCTGAGGCACCCTGATGCCATGGGGATGGGCATAGTATAAAGGTACAGTGAGAAATCAGTGCCTAGCTGGGATGGTTTTGCCTGGACTCAGGGGATGTTGGGCTAGATGGGCATTAGGCTGAGAACATAATAAGACAATATTTAACATGGCTTAAATGTGCCTTGAATTAGAGTGAATGTTGCTGACTCCTGTGTAGCTCCACCATCCAGCATAAACTCCCCTCCCTGGAGAGAACCCACGTTGGGGTTGGGGCTCAGGATAGTAGCACCTGCTATACGCTGGGATCTAGCAGCCACAGTGTTGATGCTTCTGTCGCCCTTCATATTCTGGCTACAGTCAAGATGCACGGTGAGTCTTCTGGGCCCTGTCTGGATGGGGTGAAAGGGGATGGGTAAACGCAGCATCCTGCCAGGCTGTACAGAGCCCAATCTGCTATGTAGGAGGAGACAGTCTAGGCAGTGCAGTTATTTGCTTTGTTCATAGTTCTCGGGGGCTGGAGATGCATTTGACAGGCACCAATATGGAGAAAGAAGAAAGGGCCAGAGTTCTGATAGCAGAGCATTGGGGAAGGACTGGGGGCTGTAAGGGAGGGGAAGCTAAGGCAAAGGGAGTGAAAACTCTCAAAGGATGTACCTGTCCCCCACTCCTTGCGATCCCCCATTCATGTTTGGGGATTATCTGCAAAGCCAGCGATAGACATTTAGTAAAAACCTTCTGGAAAAAGGGCAAGAGGAGGATGGCTGCACCTCGTGGTCTAGGAGGGCCCTATAGTTTTCTGAACTGCCTGGGGCAGTCTCTTCCAAGACCAAATCGGCCCAATAAAGACATGGACACTTATAAAGAGCTCAGCCATGTTTTGCTTTCTTCCTCTGTATCCCTCTCCTTGGGTTGAACTCGGGATGAAACTGGTTACAGGGGCCCCTGAAGAGCTGGAAAATCTGGCAGCTGGGCCAAGGGAACTGCCATCAGCAGAGCTAAGACCACTGTGTCTCGTACAGGTGGGTATGTACTTATACTACACCCCAAGGAATGTAGCACTGTGCCAGACAAATTAATATCCAACCGTGGGGGGGAGAGCCTCTTGCACTCCTAGGGATGGGAGCTTTCTGCAAACCAAGGAAGTAGGCTTGTCTCTTACACCAGCAGAGAAGCAGGGGGGATTTGCTATACTGCTGGGCATTGCTAACACCCACACAGCTGCCTCTGAGAGATGGTTTGAAATGTCCCAGTCAGCATTACTTACAAGCCTTGGCTGAATAAATAGTTTAACGCCGTTGTCCAAGCAGCTGGAACTTGCTCCCTGACCCATGCTGAAAATTCCTCAGGGAGAACATGCACAGCTTAATGCAGTAAACATCTCCTCCATGTTTTGTTGACGTTTCATCTCCATGCCCCCGGTGATGCTTTAGTGTTACCCTTATGTGGTTCCTCTTCGACTGCTCTATCAGTGGGGCTGAAGCTTTTCCCAAATGCCATGTACTCAGTTTGTCTTTCAGTATTAAACATTTGTTGCAATTTTTCTTCCTTGGCTTGTCTCTTTCCTGTGATATTAGTGGAATCCAAGTGGAATCAATTCTTAGTTAAAAAAAAAAAAACAGGTGATGGACTTCCAGGTATAGTGGTTTCTGCCTGGTCTTTCCTGCCCCACTTTGCCAGTAATGCCAGCCTTGTAGCCTGTTCACCCTTGGGGGCTATAAAGCAATAATAAATGCAGTCTGTCTTCAGTGCATTAGTCTCTAGCTCTGGGTTGTGCCTATTGCAGAATAAGTTGCTCTGCTCAGGGAGAGTCACTTTGCCCTTAGCCATTCCTCCTGACTCTATAAATGAGCCCTGTCTATGACTGCCATCACACACTCCACCAGGGGCTCAGCCAGAGGGCTAGGAAGCTGGTCTGTGGTATGGTTCGCTGGTAATGCACTGCACTCTTTGGGAGCGGCGAAGAGAAGTAAATGATCTGGAGTTAAGAAAGAATAAGTGAGAAGCTTCTAGGGGTGGAGGAGGTTAGAACAGGCTGTCTGGGAGCCACTGATGGTTGTCCGTCTTCCTAGGTGAGACTCTTGATCTCTCACTTCTACCAATCTGCATCCCCTGTTTGTGAGCTCCTATAGTATCCCTTGTGCTCCAGACTCGAGTGCAGGGTTTATGATGTGCATTAGGGATCTCCGAAGTCCATTGATTCTAAGGCTTGTGGTTATACGGTCCAAAAAGTGAGCTGGGGCAGTTTGGGGACGGCGGGGCAGGAGGGGTTGTACATGGCAATGCAGCCTAACCGGCTCTCTCCCAACCCACACCCAAAGGTCCCTTAGTTTAGTTCCATGGTGGAAAAGATCACCTCTGAGCCACTCAGACCAACAAACTGGTTCTGCTTGTGGCCATGGAGGTCATTGTGTTCTTGTTGCTGCAGTAACAGTGACTGACCCAGTCCTTTTACCTCAGTAGTGAGCTGGGCTTTGCAAATGCTGATCTCCTCCTGTCCAAAGTATGTACTGGGGGAGGCTTCATCCTTCAGCATGCTATCCGCCTCAGCAGATGACTTTCTCCCAGTGCCCTCTTGGACTGTGCATCAGGCACCCAGGCTGGAACAAATGAGTTGTGTCTAGTCTCAGCCTGGGTGATTCTTCTGGGATTGTAGTGCTCAAGACTACACAGGCCCCATCATTTTAATAGCTATATGGTCCCAGCTAGGCTTTGAATTTGCATCCCAGTAATATGAATAGGGTCCCCATGTGGACCCCCACTAAGTAAATCAAGTTGGTGACACTTGGTTATTCGGTCAACTCTTCACACATTTGGGAACTAAACATACTTCTCTCCAAGTGAAGGGTAGGGTTTGGAAGTGGTTTTCTGTCCCTGGAGCATCTATGCCTGTTGGGTCAGACTGCATTGTGGTTGCATGTGGTACAGTCCTTAACTTGGTTATCTTTGAGAAAGAAATGAAGCTTTTCCTTCCAGAGCTGGGTAATGGCCATGCAACTGTACTGCAGGGAAAGGGACCTCAGCAGCAGATGCACAGCCTTCTTACCAATGGTCCTGTTAGACACTTCCACAGAGAGGTGGACATCCTGTCCCAGCAGCAGGGAACTCTGGCATTGGATGCAGGCAAAGAGCAGAGGTGCTGGTTCTTCAAGGGCAGGAGGAACAGTGCAAGGAGCAGTCTTGCTGGTGCTGGCAGTCCCAAGTGCTCTCATCTTTCTGCAGGCTCTCTCAAGCACCTCTCTTTCCTGAGAACCTGCTACACAAGATGAACACAGTCTCTTACTGTCCTTTCCTCTTTACTAGTGTAATCAGGTGGATGGAGCAGGACACACAGTGGAATTATTCCAGCAGAGCTTGACTGTTGTGTGTCTCGGTTCTCTTGTGTTATTAGAAAGCAGCCTGTTTATTAGAAATCTAATATTTATTATTAGAATCCTAGCCTAGAAAGGCCGTAATTCAACAATCATATGTGATGAATTGGACAGGAAGGGGAGGAAAGATGTGAGTGCATCTCACTTAATTACCAGGATCAGGGCCGGCTCCAGGTTTTTTGCTGCCCCAAGCGCAAAAAAAAAAAAAAAGGCGGAGTGCCGCCACCAAAGCAAAAAAAAAAAAAAGCCGGAGTGCCACCCCTTAAAATGCCGACTCCAAAGGGCCAAAATGCTGCCCCTTGAAAAGTGCCGCCCCAAGCACATGCTTGGAACGCTGGTGCCTATTAACAGAGCCTTCAAGGGCCTGTCTCGCTGTGCCCTAGCCTAAGTCTCAGAACTAAACTCTTATTGTGTCCCCCAGGCACCTCTCTGTCACCAAAGCTGGTCTCAGTTCACTTCCTCATTCCATGCAGCTCTTTCTGCATGGATTGACCTCACAGTGCACTAGCACTTCACTTCTTCCATGGGCCGTGCAGGTGCCTTCCTAGGGCAGCGGCAGTTTGTATTGTGGACAGAACAGTGTGTGCTCTCCGAGCTTAACAAATAATAAACATAGACCACCGCTGAGGTCGTATTTTGCTCATCTCGACCCATGTCTAATGCCCTGTTCTCTGTCCTGCAGGAGTCGCTCCTGCTCTGGATGTCTTCACCTCCTTTTGGGCTCCCTGCTAGGGCATGGCAGGTGCCTTGTGGCTTGTTTACCATCTCTAATTGCCAAGTTGCCTGTTTGTTTTTGGGGTGGAGCATGACTTTTCCTCTTCTTCCCCCCCTCCCCCAACTTACTGGCCTGTTGTGCAGAAGTCAAGAGGGATTCCTTTATCTCACAGCCCATACTGCTGGGGCTGGGGCCTGTAAGTCTAGGGTGGGGGCCTGCCTGGGTGAAGGGGAGCCAGAGAAGTCTGCAAATGCAGGTTGTCCAGTCACATTCCAAAGAAACATATCTCTGTTCAGGCTATCTGGGGACTTCCCAACAATAAGGAAACAGACTAACGAGGCATCTCAAAATATTTGTGTGTCCAGATGATAGGGAGGAGGGGTGAAGCAAAATATAGAAGGATCCCATTTGCTGCAGGTCCCGAAACTCTGCCCTGGGGCTCTCATATGCACTGCTGTGTGTTCTCCTAAGTGTGAGTAACAGCGAGAGTGAATTAAGGTGTGTGAATGAAATCTGTAGTCTAGTTACTAATGCCCCGTCTAGTAGCTCCCATTGCAACCTGGCATGATGCAGTCGAGGTGGGAGGGAGGCAGTATTTAAATGCCCTAATGGCTGATTTCCCTCTCCAGGGTGGGAAGGAATTGGGGAGCTGTTTGGCAAAGAAGCTGGAGGAGAAGCAGGCCTACCATTTACCTCCCTCCCCCTTACACCTCCAGAGCAGGGAGTGGGCCTACCAGCCACGCCCAATAACATTGCATGAAGGTAACAAGGCACTAGTCTCTTTTGTTCTCTTTCTAGCCCCCAGAGGCACCATGGGGGGAGGGGCACAAAGAGGTTTGGTAATGTACTGATGTTGAGTGGGGGCTGGTGGAGGCTTCTATCAATTGAGATCAGAACCTGAGCCTCCAGGCTTCTCCCTCCCTTGTCTTTTTAGGCATGCCTGGGCTGCAGTGTGGGACAGCGAAAGGTGGAGCTGTTGGGGGGCAAGGTCTGAACAGCCCAAATGCTGCACTGGACACTAAGATGCGAGTATAAAACCCTGGGACTCTCCTGGCTCCCTAGAGCAGCCTCTAAGCCAGGGTGCCCTAAGGCCTGTGCCTGACAGGATGGGCATCCCACTGGGCTGCACTCCTCCACTAGTGCTCAGAGTAGGAACTGTGATCAGTACTACGTCTGCTGGGAGGGAGGGGAGGAATCCCCCACTGATTGGCTGCCTGCCCATCTCTTGGATCAGAGCAGCCAGTCAGAGCTGCCACAGGAAGAGTATGCATGCACATGCTTGCCCCCAGCCCACTCCTGCTCTCAGCAACCTGAAGCCATTTTCACAGGAGAGGGAACGAAAAGAGCCCTGCAGCTCAGGGCAGCTCTGCTCCCATCCTCCTTGCAGTACCCACTCCAGGGGCATGGGGGGTGAAGAGCCCCTGGAGCTGTCCCCCTTCCACCTCACAGCCTAGAAGTGAGGGACGTTGCTTACAAGGGTGACCAGATGTCCCTATAAAATTGGGACAGTCCTGATTTTTGAGTCTTTTTCTTATATAGGCTCCTATTACCCCCCACCCCCGTCCCAATTTTTCACACTTGCTGTCTGGTCACCCTACTGCTTACCCCCACCAAGAGGGCGGGGGAGGGGTGAAGAGCCCCAAGAAAAGCAATAGGTGAGGCTGCGGGCTGATGAGGACTGGGAGGTTGTGAGGTAGAACTGATTGGGGGGGCAGAATTAGTTGCTAGTCAGGGCCCAGGCAGCTGTGAGGTGAGAGCTCCTGCAGCAGGGGCCCAAAATCCCCATACTCAACACATCTGGGGGAGTGAGTAACATGCAGGAATGTGCACACATGCACATGCGTGTCCAGGTACATGTGGGGGATGGGGTGTTTAAAAAAAATAACAGACCCCAAAAATCCTGATAGATTTTGAAAAAATTATTGTGGTTTTTAGGGTTTGACTCATGATTTTTCATCTCTTGAGGTTGGTAATAGTGGGTTCTCTTTGCCCAGAAGAGCACCAGGGTTGCACAGAGAAAGGGGGTGGATGAGAGGGAGGAGCAGTAGCAATCAGTTGATTGGAGTTGGGAGATATTTATCAGGCTGGTGTTCTTTTCCCCTTCCCCTTTTTGTTGGGTGGAAGGGAGGGAGAGGCTCAGTCATTCTTCTGGGAGCATCTAAAATCCTGACAGTCTTTGGTGAACATGAACAGCTGCTGTGCTTCTGGATTTGGCACACTTCAGGGTCCCTCCTCTATCTGTGGATCCCCTAGGCCAGCAATTCTGTGCATACTCCTGGGGGTATGCAGAGGTCTTCTAGGGGGTTGTAGTGGGGCAAATGCCCCACTCCCTGGGAGTATGGGCTGTGGTAGGCCAGTGGGCCTGCACAGATGCACCGCCAATGAGAGAAGGGCTTACTGGGAGCCAATCGGGGCCCAGATTGGAGGCAGCCAATCAGGGCCAGGCTCAGTCCTATAA